AATTTTCTCTGAAAATTTTCTGTTTCACTATGCACACTTGTGCTAGCTGGGCTCCCAATTATGTATTTTGGAAAATGCAGAACTTTATCTACCACAAATCTTCAAAGCCACTGCTACACGAGTTCCTGCAATGTCAACTCAAATTGTAGGAGACATTATAAAAAGGGAAGTTGCCTCTGACTAATTCTTCTAAGCAGAATAAAAGCAAAAGCAAAGAAAAATATTTTCTTTCACATCTATACTTTTGAAGACAATGACAGGTGTTACAAAACTAACCTTTGATCAATAATGTAGGAAGCCAACGGTGGTTCTAACAGCTGGTTAGTTAAAGTGCTTAATAACTAAACTGATAATTCAAATGTAAAATTTAATCAGCTTCTATTAGACAGCAAAATAAATCTCCAAAGAATCTAGGCTAGATCAAAATAAGTTTTTCTCCTTTCTTATCAAAACTGCAGAGTCGTGATGGAGAAAATTTCACAAATTCAAAGAAAATATGACACAGTCTTAATCTGAACTGTCTAACATTGGAATGGAGCAGTTTCCTCTAGCCCCTGAACCTTCTGAGAATTCATCCTTTTATGATTCCAGGAAGTAAGGAGATACAGGGGAAAAGCCATGGATCCTCTAAAGCAGTGGTCCTCAACCTGTGGGTCGCGACCCCTTTGAGGGTCGAACGATCCTTTTACAGGGGTCTAAGACCATCAGAAAACACATATTTTCAATGGTCTTAGGAACTGAGACACCGCTCCTCTATCCGTCTCCAGGCGGGTCCACCCACATGCAGATATGCCCACATACGAGTACCCGACGTGATGACATCATCATGCCAACCTCATCACATACACCCCATACAGATACAGGTGTATGTGACAGGGTTGGTGCCATAATGTACTTATGTGGACCAGTCACACATGTGTAGAGAGCAGCTACTGTGTAGAAAGCAGCTGCTGTGTTGAAAGCAGCTACTCTGTTAAAAGCAGCTACTGTGTTGAAAGCAGCAGTATTGGAGGTAAAACGACACTTCATGAATTATAATTACTGGGTAAATGTAAAATCATGTACTGTAAAATCATCAACTACTGCAAAACAAAATATCTGTACCATGGGAACTTAATCTGGATGCTGATCGGTCTTTTTATATTCAGCTGTGGTTGATGTGAATACTGCCCCCTTGTGATAGTAGCAGATATGTAAAAAAAACAACACAGAATGATAAATCATAAGAAACTTTAATGAACTGTATTAACTGAACTATGCTATGTATCATCTTTTGTATTATTAAAGCTATTGTTATATATTATTTCCATTAGCAAACCATCCAATGACAATAGATCGTGTAGAGAAGAAAGT